GAAATCTTTCAGACCATTTAACAAACATGAAGAAGACTAAATTAAAAGTGCCTTCTATGAATGCACCTGTAGGATGAATTTTACACATTACACAATAATCTTATGTAGATTTAACCAAATAAAATGACAGTATTTAAAAAAAAAAAAAAGAATAAGTCAGATTACTGACAACAGCAACAAATACCATAAAACTATTTGAATCATTTTTAATGTATCGACTTGAAGCACAACTTTGACAATCAGGACCAACTAACTTTAGAGTTAGTGCCGTTTATGATTGAAAAACAATCACAAAATGAGGATTTGAAACTTTAGATATAATTAGTTCACGTCATCGTTACGTGGATCATCGTTACGTGGAACATTTAGCCTTTTCAAACCTGTAAAAATGTGTTTAAAACCATGGAGTACACCATTCCTCCAGCCTCAGGGCCAAAGGTAGACCAGCACCGTGCTACTGCCGGGGGAAATAAAAATCTCAGTCTTTAACAACGGGATTACATGACTCTTTGTTCCATGGCGCAGGCTGACCTAAATGCTTCACCCCCCCTGACCCCCCCACCCCCCACCCCCTCTACCCTGCCCTCCTCCAAGGCGCCATATGGCCAAAGATTAGAAAAATCCTCATTTCGGGCCATCCAGGATGTCACATTGTAAAGAATACAAAGAGGAAGTGACATTAATGTGCTCCTCCAAATTCTTAGCGCAAAGCTGATTACGCAGACTACTGAAATCATGTTTTGGACCAAATTCCAGCATGTATTTCCAGAGGAATTACAGGGAGTGTTTTTGTGCGGTGGTCAGTAAATCGTGTCTGTAGGTGACCACTGTACAGTAATATCTGGCCACCAGTTTGTCCAGTCATTGGATACTATTCCTGCTCTAAGGCAGTCATCTTAGTTGTCCACAGTGTCATGGCACTTTTGTTGCGTTATCATGGAGAAAATGTATTATTCAAAAGGGAAAAGTCATCATTGACTACACTCCTTAAGGGAATCTTCACGGTATACCCCTCGTGGCATGGAAGGGGCCTAGTAGAAATCAAGCACATGCCCCTAAAGAAACCTTTATATGTTGGGTATCTTTACACCCCAGTTGCCTGGCCCTATCTACACATAGAACTGGAGTTGTTGTTCTTTTAGCATTGCCACAACAGACAATTTTTTAGTCCAATGAAAAACATTATGCGATACATTCAGTACAATACAAATCAAGATGCTAGCAGCAGTTGGGACATGGCAGCCGGTTCTACACAGATTGTGACGGTTACATTTTGGTTTGTTGTTTGCAGGGCATGGTGGCTTCTTTTTAACACGCTGAATTCAGGGACACTCCCAGATCCATTTTCTTGACATGTCTGACCAAATGTCCATGTGTCTGAATGTTCAAAACCTGTTTCTCCATGACTACAGGTCCAAACTGATAGGAGGTCATGCATGAGATGCACCATCATTACCACACTATGCCCAGACTCATAGCTTCATACCTTTAGTTTGACTCTCTTGAGAAAGCTCTACCTTTAAGATCAGTTTTCAAACTCTGCTTTTCATAGATCTGGTGGTCAGGGATGGCCTGGGGATACATCTGTGGTCAGAAGGCAGGTGCTGTGGACATGGCCTATCAGAAATTCTATCACAACCCAAAAACTGAACTTCAACGAGCAAACACAATCAAATAGTAACAAGTAACTCAAAACCTGACTGAGATGAACCCGAATGGACGAGAAAGCAGAGAGTCCAGAGAAAGGAGGGATTTGAACCGCAAACCCTCTTGCTGTGAGGCACGGATGCCAAACAGCACAGCACCACGCCGCCCTAAATACATTTACAGGGGGAAATATGGAGAGGCTGCTGCGATCTGATTGGCCGCCACGGGATCTTACATGTGGGCCATGGAAACCACCTCCCTGTTAGTTTGGTTTGAGTCTATTGTTTCATATTAAAGTTCCTTTGAATTGCTGCTACCTCTTTGTAATGTCACAAACTTTATAGTTCTGAGCCATTGATATTCAAAGACCAATTACAAAAACCAACATTACAAAAATAACTATTCAAACTGATGAGATCAGTGGAGGTCCGAACTGTCTTAATTGCCTTCACATGTGCATTTAAATAAAAAAGAGGGTGAAACAATGTCCTGTTTCCATATTGTATTCTGCCAATGCATGGAGTTGACAGTTTTGTTCTTTGTTTGTGAAGGTTTAGGTCAAACCTCATCTCTTTGTGTGTAATATCCTCCTGAGACCCGGCCCATTCATTTATGTCCATTATAGTGGACATTTTGTCCACCTGTACCCCCCCTAAGTATCTGGAGTTACCCTATCAAGCCCTATAGTGTTCTGTAGAGGACATCCTGGGCTTTCCAGTGATGTGATAGGTTTGCATGCTGGGAACTTTACTTTTTTCCTAAGAGTTCTTAGGTAAATATCCCTTTCAAGACATCTTCTTGTTTATTATTTAATTATCTAAAGCCTGTTCTATTTTCCAATGCAAATCGTCCTGTTGTCCTCCACAGTGGACATGCTATGAAATTAAAATTAAAAATATTTTGTTGAAATTGTAATGTTCTTTTTTAGGTCCAAATACATGGAAAATCACAACAAAAAATACATTTGAAGACACTTTTTTTCTTTGGGTCTCAGGAGGATATGGCAGTCCACCTCGCACCTGAAGGTCCCAGCTCCCTCATCACCATGAAGTGGGTATAGAAAACAGTTTGTAGAATAACTAGAAATGAAAATAAACTGTTTTCCATTACGACATTAATTGCAGTTGTCTGTTTGACAGTCCCTACCTTTCCCTCTGCAGTAATGTGGCTGCTGTCCAGTGTGGTCAATGGTCCTCTGTGGGGCCAATCCCAGGAACAATGACCTTCTGCTGGACCTGACAATGACTGGGTTTTTCAGACAGTTGTCCCCACTGGTCAGCAGAACCCCCCCACCCCTCCTGATGGAAGCAGTTGTTTAGTCTCAATAGCAGAGAGCTGCTGCTGTATTAGTAGCTTTTAACCATAGCTACACTTTACAGAGTTTATTTTACCCTAAATCATGTTTTATTGTGATATTTCCACTAAGAATGGACTTTTAATACAAGTCATAACTGGACTCTGACTACAATCATACAAAATTAAATTGGTCAAAGCCAGCTAACACTTGACCGACACTACATTCTGATTTAGGTCATCTTGCACGACAAAACCTCAATGCCCCCTTAATCTTCCATCTTTTTTTCCTCAAAACAATACAGTGCACGCATCTCAATGTGTTTGAAATCCCAACAACAAACATTTGAGTGCTGAATTCAGTCACACACACATGAGCCGGGGTCTCAAACAGAGAAAGAAGCACTCTGTCCATGCATGTGCATGTGAACTCTTACAGGGTGGGGGTCCGGTTAAAGGACTAGGTCCAACTCTAACTTTAGCCTGAAGTGTCTGTAAACGTAACCGAACCGTGTGTGTGTGTGTGTGTGTGTGTGTGTGTGTGTGTGTGCGTGCGTGTGTGTGTGAGACCAGAGGCAATCTTTTTAGGTGCAGCATCTCAGGAAATGTTGGTTAGAGCTGTTTTTTGGTTTGTTTTTTTGATAATTCTGAAGTTTAAAATACCTTGATATAAACTACTCAGTCAATTATTGTATTAGTATAAGTTAATGATTACGTTTCCGAGTTTCAAATAATCGATTTCATTGAGGCTTCATATTCATTAGATTTAAATGAGCACCTTTTTAATTTATTTGACATTTTTACTGGAATTAGAGTTTTATAACACTAATTTCTGTCCAAAGATGTATGAGTCTTTCTACTATATCTATATCTATATCTATCCATGTCTGGTTATTTAAAGTTGTTCAAATGAAAGCGATTCTTCAGCACTAAAATATTTGATTAAAGATGCTGCAATTGATTGAAAGTAAGTTAGTAAGTATCTCTAAATCATTTTGATATTACGTGTTATATATTGTTTACAGTATATATAGGCCACTCCATAAATAAAATTGTACACACTATATATGGTGTTGTATGATATCCAGATGAGTAATAACAGTGGTAGAAACTATTTGAGCCTGTTTTAGTCTTCATATGAATAGTTAGGATCTGCTTCTAGAAAGACTAGAAAATTCAAATTCAAGTTTGTAGTTTTAACATGAGCTCAGACTTCTGACACAAACAACTTTTTAGTAGAATCAACTCAAAACAAACGCTCACCTGCCCGCCTACAGTCACAAATAAAAGCTTTTAGGTCATTCCACATCTGTGGACTGTGTGCGGTCAGCCCTTTTTTCAGGAGGTCTCTAATGGCTGTGTGGCTCCAGACGGAGGGAATGACCCATGCAGTCTAGACATCCGTTTTTAGAAGTCCCAACACTCCAGCTATGGGGTTAAGGATGTCAGGTTAAGGCTGTGGTGGGCAGGGCCCCCAGAAAAGGAGCCTGTGGGGGCTCACACACCGCCTCCACCTCACCCCCCCCTCCCCCGTTAGTCAGCTCCAATGTGCCACACACCCCAACATCCACCGTCCAGGTCTGATCCAGGCAGTATTGTTCCCCCCCGGGCCTTTGTTTTGGTTCCAGGAAATGCTGGTGTAGGTGGAATCAAAGGAACGGGGAGGATGCGAGAGGAGCCCAGTCCCCGCAGCAGAACACACTCCTGAGCCTTTGGGCTGACACACACTACTTTGTGGGGGGGTTTTGCGCGCCCCCCGGTGCCACGAGATGACCGGAACCCCGTGCGCACAAAACGCGGAGATTAACAGACCATTAACAAAACCCAGATGAGCTCACCTCAGCCTTTGAGTTGAGCTGAAATGGAGAGCACCGTACCTTGTGGCTCACAGGGGGCAGTCAGAGGAGTCCCGGTCCCGCTTCACAAAGCCATCCCGTGCGTTTCCCATCCTGACCTGAAAGCCTGCGCTCCAAGACTTCTAAAAGTTAGAAAAAGACACAGGAAAAAAAAGCGATGCTGCGTAAACGTGCTGCTTTGCTATGAAAAAAGGAAAATGAAAGCTCCAGTGAGGGGATGTGAGCTCCAGAAAGCTTGCAGGCAGAGCCGGGGACACGTCAGACTCCGCCGGGGCTGCGCCCGCCTCTCCCCGCCGGTCTGGATCAGTGCGCGGTATCCAGCTCCCGTCTGGATCTGCAGAGCGGGGCGGAGTCACGGAGTCCGCCTGTAGGACTCTCCGTGGTGCCCTGAACGCAGCCTGACAGGCACCGACACCTCTCCTACCGGGACCGTGCCCGTGGCCTGCGCCACAGGCCGGAGTCTGTCCACCGGGGGGCCGTTTCTGTCCCGTCGTGATAAAAAACCCTCCTCCCTGTGATTGCGGACCTGTTTGAGTCAACCCAAGGGTCTGACAGGACGCTTTGCAACACTTTTGCGCGCTCTCGGAATCGGTTTTGCGCGCCCACGACCGTGCGGGATATTCACTCAGCCCACGCGTTAGTTTGCGTCAAATGTGGGCACAATGAAAGTTCATAGAGTTTTATTTTGAGCTATGTCTGCAATATAAAGACATTCTTTTGTGACAAAGTCTATTGCAAAAGTTCCAATAAAGTAAAACATGTTACAAATCCAATAGACTTGGTTTAAAACTAAAAGTGCCATCCCATTGGAAGTTGGATTAGGGTCATAGTGTAGGTCTTTCAATAATTTTTTATGTTGAACATGTCCCCATTCTCCTTTTTTTCAACATTTTCTCTTTCTTTGAGTTAGAATTTCCTGTATGTAATGGTTCTTTTCCCCGGGTTCCCTCCTCTCCTGTTCATTAGCTCCACAAAGCTCATCCTTCATCCACTCAGTAATCAGCTTCACCTGGGTTTTCTCTTTGGTCAGCTCTTTACGGTCAGACCAGAGAGTTGGAACTGAAGCTAAAGCAGAAAAACTGGAGGCTAAGATTAGCTCTTAATACACTGAAAATAAACTGAATCCCTGTCTTCACCCCAAAATGTACAGTAAATAGTGCACGTGGTCATTCTAAATTGTGTCATTTCCCTACAAAAGGAGGACCAAACACATTTAAGTTCTAGTCTGGTCCCTCTGGACCAGACTAGACAGATCACTTACTTCTGGGTCTTTAGATGGCATGGGGATTTATCTTCCCCCTTCTGAGCTCCTGCCCACTGGTCCCTGCTGCCCACACAGTTGGACACATCTGGGTTACTGGGTCAACTCTGTACTGGGAATACTGGGCTTCCTGGGGTGGCTCAGCGGGTGGAGCCTGTGCTGGTTGGGGGTGGGGTCATCAGGCAGCCTTTCCCTTCCTGTTGGGCAGCAAAGCTGGGGTCACTGAGGTTTTGTTGGGCCCCTGACTCCACCAAACGCCTTTAATTCACGGGTCAAAGTTACTGACCCCAGCACCAGGGGTGGGTGGAGGAGTACAGTTTCTAGATCCGTCCTCCAGTATTCCTGCCACAACTACAGCTTTGATCTTTTGGGCTCAGTAGGGGGGCCAGGAAGTGTCCGTTTGATCTGCAGGAGGAAGAAGAGGAGGAGAGGAACAAGGAGGTGATGGAAATGCTTCATGGAAAACATGCTTCTGTCTAATTTCTTTACATGGAGACAGCTATCTATTCAAATGATGAATCTTATCAAATCCTATAAAGATGAGGATTAAGCTAAGATGCAAAGCAGATCTTTTATTTGCTCATTTGTAGGGCAGCCTGTTTCAGCAGCAATCATCTGGCATTCACAAATAAAGGCCATGGACTGATTGCCCCGTTAAGGCCGAGAGGTCTCTTGGCTGTACGTCCATCTTCGAGTGGACGGTCAAATGGTTTATGGGAATGGGCCAGGGGGACATGAAATGGAAAGTATCTGTTATGGTGTTTGAAAAGGGCTGACACTAAACCTAAAAGATGAGCAGCAATGCGGGATACTTTTGAGGAGTCGACAGTGTATGGGCATGGGGACCGGGTAGCGGCCACTGGAAAAGGGTGCAGGAAGCCCCGGGGTCTTTGAAGCAATGGTCAGCGGAGGCAATTAAGTTGGAACTTGTGGTGGTCTGGAGATTGGAGGAGGGGCAGGACAAGACACTGATGATTACTGAATAAACAAGACATAAATGATACGTTAATCAATTTTTTTTCTTTTTCTTTAACAATGTTGGAGAATGATTCCAAATGATAGAGAAGAATAATACTAGATTAACTCCCACCAGGGGAAATTTAAATAGTCAAGCTGATAAGAAATAATGACATTGGTTTCATATTACGTTAAATACAATAAATAAATACAACACATAAAATAGAATAAATAATTTAAACTTTCAGGGCTTTCTGATATGTTTATGTTTCTGTTGATGTAGTTTGCAGACGGGTTTTATCGGCAGTCAAATCAGGTTGAGCACACCTCGGTCGCCCCCTGCTGGTTATGTTTGGAACCGCGGTCACTGTGAGGCGCCATATTAGACGGACATAACATCGATGTCAAGGAAGTTGAGCGCTGTTCCAGATGGACAGGCTTCTCCGGCTGTAGCAGTCGATTCAAACACAGTTCGGGCGACTCCCATATGGTTCACAAGTAACCGAGAACAGCACCCAGGGCACAGCAGGGCCGTGGCTGTCTCCATCGTCCAGCAGGCTCCTCCACAGACATGACTTCCTTGACACAGAGAAGTTCGGGCCTTGTGCAGAGGCGGACCGAGGCGTCGCGCAACGCCGCCGACAAAGACCGCTCGCTCGGCCAGGAGGACCCCGAGCTCCGGCGGGCGGACGAGCAGGAGGACGACGACACCGGCGACTCCAAGGAGACCCGCCTCACCTTAATGGAGGAGGTGCTGTTGCTGGGGCTGAAGGACCGAGAGGTAAGCGGCTGACACGGCGTGCTCCCCTCCACCGGCTAACGTCCACACTCCTCGGGCTGGACTGGAGCCGCTTCCCCGACACGGGAGCGTTAGCACCGCGGCTAGCCTCCGGCTAAAGCTAACAACAATAACAGGCCTCAGGCTCCGGTGGTAGCAGCCCGGTGCGTTCTCCTCGGGGCTAGCGACCTTTATCATTCTTCACTGTGCACCGGACTTGTTGTTTTAGCTGCCTTTGCCAGTAAATAACCTGTAAATAACACGTAAACCCAGAATTAGTGGTGTAAACAGGAAGCATAGGAGTGTGTTGACACTCAGGGCAGATGTGCGAAGGGTCTGTCCCAGTCTGTGTGTCCATCCCACAGCTCGGGTGGACAGAGGGGCACAGGTAGAAACCTTTTCATACACATTCTGCTGCTTATTAAAGCTGGCAGTAATGGTTTTTCTGACATTTGAAGGGCACTTGGTGACAGCAGCCAGACAGGCCGAAGTTAAAGGTGGTGGCAGGTCGTTTTCCAGCCTGTTTGTGGACACTTTGCAGCAGGTGGGATGGTGGACGTGGACAGACATGTGTCTGCCCCTCCACCACAGCACTAGCCACCTCCGTGCATGCTCAGGTGGGAGTTTGTCCCTCCTGCTGACCTGTAGTCTGCATGGGGTCATGACCAGTGTGAAGGCATATTGTATTAATCCTAATGTGGACAGGACATTTCCAGAAAAGAAAGCCCTGCTTTGACCCGTCCACTCATTTCACACAGTCGCCCTGAACAAGCCTGAGCACTGTCCTGTTACTCATCGTTGCCTTTCAGAAGAAGTAGAAATAACTCAACTCCTACAAGGGAACACCACCAGGGTTCTGGGTCAGTCCTGGCTGTTTGGCCAAAAGCGACACTCGATCGCACAGGTACATGGTCCACAGATATTCTGCTGACCTGGGCTGGGTTTGGGTCGATTTCGACCAAAATAACACAAACTCCACCCGGCAGAGGAGGAGCCACAGTGATGATATCAGCTCAGCCACCTGGTTGGGCCACAGTCCGAGGCCATGGGCCATGGTCTGAGTTTAACCAGGTCAACCGGTGACGTGCAGTCTGCGGGCGGCCTGACTCAGGCCCCCTCAACCGAGCAGGGGCTAGACTGGAGGTGAAAAACTGAAAAGCAAAAAAAAAAAAAAAACCCCAACTAATTGGTTTTGAGTAGTTGGTGTTGGGAAAGGTCCCCAAAAGGTCCAGAGTCCCACTTCTGTGAACGGAAATGAGACGGGCAACACATTTCTCTGTAGTGTCTGCTGCCTGAAAGCCGTCCTGTGATGTGATACAGTCGGCCGGTGGTTTATAGGCTCCGCTTTGGATTCCCAAAAACCTCTGAGTGTGGAGGGTGGAAACGTCAGCCACTCAATGTTTAGGTGCCTTTTGCACTTTCGATCCGATATCGGCCTATCAGAACATGTACTAAAGTTGTTATTTATCTACTTACTTAGCTGTCAGACTCATGTTGAAATGGGATTTACTCTGATAACAACTTACTGGTTAGGACACAGACCTGTGGGTTAGGAGATGCTAATGCTAATGCTTGTGTGGGATCGGATAAAATAAAAAAAAACTGGATCTGGAGTCTGGATCTGCATTTTCTCCTGCTGGCCGAAACGCATTTTTTTGCAAATATCGGTGGCCAATGCGATATCTGGATCAAGCCAAGTTCTGACCCTTCCACTGTTGCCCCCCCTCCAGGGCTACACCTCCTTCTGGAATGACTGCATCTCCTCGGGGCTGCGGGGATGCATGCTGATCGAACTAGCCCTGAGAGGACGCCTGCAGCTGGAAGCCTGTGGCATGAGGAGGAAAGGCCTGCTGGCCAGGAAGGTAGGAGAGCTTTCTGTAACATCTGCAGACAGATGCAAGTGGCTGAGGGAGGGGGGGGGGGCAGGGGGCATGCGTTGGCGTTTCCACAAAGGTGGATGTGTGAAAGGGTCTGTCCATCTACTTTGCTGCCAACAGATGTCCGTTTAGAGATGAGAAAACATGACCTAACAGCTAACAGGTCATGTTGTGCTCTGCTAGTTCCACAGTCAGGCTCCAAAATGATGCCAACCTAGCATTAGCATTCATTAGCTGCTGCTGGATCGCATGCAGCAAAGCTGGCCCAAGCTCCAGAAAACCAAACATGCACATTTTTCTAAGTTTAATGCTAATGAGCTAGTTACTGTGCTGGAAACAATCCCGCTGACCTCATCCAGACACCTCGCGTTCCCTCGTTTGATAACGGTTTGTAAACGGCGTGCGGCTGTCCGTTTCCATGTCAGAGACATCCCAAACCCAGACGCACGTTCTGGGCCTACAGAAGAAAGACACCAAACACCAAACAGACATCATGTTTCATAGCTGAGCACATCAGATGGAATCAGATAAGAGCTGATTTTCGTTCTCAAACGGCTATCAGGCCCTTTTCCCATTTGTAAAATCTGCTGGCAGTGAGGTACACGTGCTTTTGCTGAGAACAGAGACGGAAACAAACCCTTGAGAGCAGAGCCCTCGGTATGTAAACGACTGTCTTCATTCTGAATGAAATTCGCAGGTGATCTGTAAGTCGGACGCTCCGACGGGGGACGTGCTGCTGGACGAAGCTCTGAAGCACATCAAAGACACCCAGCCCCCGGAGACGGTGCAGAGCTGGATAGAGCTGCTGAGCGGTGAGTGCCGCTGCCTCACACTGCTTGTTTTTTTAAGGGGATTTCTTATCTTCATTTATTCCTACCAACATGATCCAGACACTAGGACCTGTGTCATGTTTGTCATGTTTGTATTGATGACTAAGTCACAACCATTTACAGCTTAATAAGCTAAAATCTTGTCACATGGCACAATCCATCTCAACCAAAGACATATCTATGTGACGTGTACAGATATTTGCACCCACCCCCCCAAAAAAAGTCAGGTTAAAGTTACTGGTTTATCCTGTTAATTTAGCCGATTAATTTAGTGAAATAAATGTCAAAATAAATACGACAGATTTAAAGGGCTGACGTCGGCCTGGTATTTAGCACCTCTGAACTTTGGTCAGCGGTCAGAGGTGGACGGTGGTGGAAATGATTGTGATTCTGGCTGCGGGGTAGGACAGGTCATACCGGCCTGTGTTTTATGTGAACAGTTATTCTTATTTGAACAACTAAACTGCCAGTCAAAAAAATATACAGAGGAGGGGTTCCTTTAGAGTTTTGGTGGGCAACTCTGGGCCTCTAGTGATGGTTCACATCACGAGGCTCTGCACGTGTCCCGGTATGCCCTGACCCCCCTCTGTTCTGCCCCCCCCCCCCTCCTTCAGGAGAGACCTGGAACCCACTGAAGCTGCACTACCAACTGAGGAACGTGCGCGAGCGGCTGGCCAAGAACCTGGTGGAGAAGGGGGTGCTCACCACCGAGAAGCAGAACTTCCTGCTGTTCGACATGACCACGCACCCGCTGACCAACAACAACATCAAGCAGCGGCTCATCAAGAAGGTCCAGGAGGCCGTGCTGGACAAGTGGGTCAACGACCCCCAGCGGATGGACAAGCGCGTGCTGGCGCTCATCTTCCTGGCCCACTCCTCGGACGTGCTGGAGAACGCCTTCGCCCCCCTGCTGGACGACCAGTACGACCTGGCCATGAAGAGAGTCCGGCAGCTGCTGGAGCTGGAGCCGGAGGGGGAGAGCCTGAAGGCCAACACCAACGAGCTGCTGTGGGCCGTGGTGGCAGCCTTCACTAAGTGAAGCCCCCCCCTGGCTCAGGGGGGGGCAGCTCTGGGGGGGGGGGGGACAATCTGAGGACATGGCTCCCACACGAGGACTCTTCAAATGGTCTGCCCTGGTCTTTTATCCCCTTTTATTCCTCCTTATTCCTCCCGACTGTCCCTCACGGCAGTCTCCTCACTCGGCTGAAAGCGAGGGGCTGTCTTGGTAAAATGGGGGGGGGTTCAGGCTCCGGCTGCTCCGTCTATGACAGGAGCAGTTAGGATGCCAAAGCTCACTAAACGTCTCGTTTGGGGACATTTCTGAGAGTACACTACGCAGATGTGACGTAACAGGTACAAATGCATGCGGCGGGCGGTCATCCTGCAGGGAGCAGCGGCTGGACGCTGCCCGTGAGCCCCCGTCGACCCCCGGACGGACCACCCGGGTCACCCCGCAGGGGTTAAGCCCCCCCCCAACAAACCACAGAGGCCGCAGACCATTCCTACAGATCCGTAAAGCTGCGGTTAAAGCAGCAAATATCTGGCTGGGCAGGTAAAGGCCAGCGTCCCCCGGCTTTTTTCCCCCCCCCCCCCCGGCGGGGGGGGGGGGGGGGGGGACTCCGGCGGCCTGTAACCAGCCCCACAGCGTCCCGGAGGCATGAAGAAGGCAGAAGTCTGAGGCTGTAGCGGCCCCCCCCCCTCCATCCCGCCCCGACTGTCCTGGCAAGGGCCTTGTGCTTCTGCCCGCCCTGCTGGAGGCTGACCCGTCGCCGCCGTGGGGACCGCTCAGACCCCCCCACACACACACACGTGGAAGCTGCACTCTGACCCGGAGTCCAGTTGCTTCTCTGACTTGCCTTATCAGTTAGTTAGTCCACACCAGACCTTGGGGAGCTTTTTTTTTTAAAAGAAGCGGTAAAAGCCGGAGACTCTCAGCAGACTGAATGAAGTGAGGCACTGTAAAAAATAAATCAAAGAAAATAATGCAGGCGTGCTCAAACCTTCAGTGACGGGGGTCCAGGGTGGGACGGGTTTGCTCAGAGCTGGGTCCTGCCGGCAGAGCGGATCCATCCCACCGGGCTGAGGTGAAGTCCCAGATCCCTGGTGTCTCTGGTAGCCACGGTAACCGGTACTAATCAGGGTCAGTCCCGGACGAGCGGCGAGGACGAAACCGACAAAAAAACTAACATTTCAAAGGCACAGGGGGTGTGATCGGCTCTGTGTCTTAACCCCACGGAAACAGGAGGGCGGAGTGTTTTTCACACTTCTGTGTTTTGTCTCGGTTTTTGTTCAATAAATAATGACAGTGTTAAGTGGCTCTGTGGTTCATCTGAGACTGGACTTACTGGTGTACGGATTAAAGGCCTGAGGACGGCTTTCTTTACTGAGAGGGGCGGCTCCTACTGCTGACGGAGACCAAACACTTTCACTCCAGTGCACGGAAACACCGCTGTCAACTCAGAGGACAGAGAGATTAGTCTGCTTTATTTATTCTACGCCAAAAGAAGCAGCTCACTGTGCACGGGGCTCCAACATGCGTTTTCAGTGGTACATTCAGGTTGTCAGTTTAAGGAAGAAAGGAAACAACAGGTTTAGCTTTTAGTACAGTGTTACAGTTTATTAAATAAAGCTGAAGCACATCTGATTAGATTTAAAGTATTCACACCAGTCTCCTCCAAACATTGCAGTAAATCAGTGAAAGTCCAATTTTCAACCTTTCTTGTCAGTTTATGATCTAACTCAATTCAAAATCAACACTCCAAGTGTTGAGCACATGAACACATCTGATTGGTTGAGTACAAACTTGCCTCGGTTGTGTCCCAGAGGTGAAGGGGAAAGGAGAAAGCAGGGGAAACAGAGCCTCACTCTGCTAGTGTCCCTCAGAAGGGACAGTCCACCATAGGGGCAGCACATGTGTACCTCTGGGAGGCGACTACGTGCACGTGGTGCTGGGGCTCTCTGCTTAGCTGCTCGTTCCTTCGTTTCTTCAGTTTGTTTGGTGCCGACTGCCCTGAAACTCCAGTTTCAGCAAATCCTTCCAACTGTAGCGTCTGTGAGAAAAATATAATCCGGTTAATTACCATTCAAATAAAACTAATTGAACCTTCATCACTTATAAGGAGATTTGGTTTTGCAGTTCATGCTGTCAAACAGGTACCTTTGAACCTAAGCAGACACATGACTAATGGCCCAATGAGGGAAACATGAGCTGCCTGTGTATTTGTCTCTTCTAAAGAACTGTTGTGTGGTTCATTATGTGATGAAGTTACCTCTTCCTAAACGTGTGTGCCGACCGGGATTGGCTCATTCAATTCCTTTGACTTTCAGCTCTTCCCGGACTCGGCCCAGGTATTCGGGATCCGGGTACCCGTAGCTGTAAACACACACAGGGAATCGTCATGGTGTGGACCAGACTAAAGGGTCTGGACCACAGTGGCATGCTGAATCCCCAAAAACTGGGACTGGGTTAAGAACTGAAGATGACATCAAAAGCTGAAGGAGAACAGTTTTAGGATTTAACCAGCCGCTGGCTTTAGAATGCTGTCCTGTTGCTTATAAGCAGGACAGTGCTCCATCTGACGGGTCAAAGGTTTGGAACTGGGGACGGGGCTTTGGCACTGAGGTGAGTGCTGGCCTAATGGCTGCTGGGAGGCCTGGTCCTCTGGTGTGTTGGCCTGAACCTGGATGGGATTCCCTGGTTGGGGCCTCACTGGTTGGGGACTTACTGATTTGAGGCTCCCTGGGTGGGGGCTAACAGGATGGGGACTCCCTCGGTTGGGGCTCCTTGGTTTGGGGCTCCCTGGTTGGGGACTCACTGGTTTGGGGACTCCCTGGTTTGGGGCTCCCTGGTTGGGGACTCACTGGTTTGGGGCTCCCTGGTTGGGG